TAGAAAATCCCAAAGAATCAACAACAAACTAACTCCTGGAACCAATAATAATAAGTGCACGGTTGCAGGATATAAGGTCAATATACAAAAGTGAATTGCCTTTCTATATACCAGCAATAAATAATTGAATTTGAAATTAAAAGCACAACACCATTAACATTAGCACCAAAAAAATGAAGTAGGTATATATCTAACAAAAAATGTACAAAATCTATGTGAGGAAAACTATAGAACTCTAATGAGAGAAAGAAATAAGTGGAGAGATAGTCCATGCTCATGAATAGGAAGACTCAATATTGTTACGATATCAGTCCTTCCCAACTCAACGTATAGATTCAATGCAATCCCAGTTAGAATCCCAGCAAGTTACTTTGTGGATGTCAACAAACAGATCCTAAAGTTCATATGGAAAGGCAAAAAGACCCAGAAGTGCCAACACAATATTGAAGAAGAGCATAGTTGGAGGACTGACACTACAATCATCTGACTGGTATTTCTGGAACAATAGACAAAGAGATCAATGGAATAGATTAGAGAGCCCAGAAATAGACTCAAACAAATATAGTCAACTGATATTTGACAAAGAAGAAAGGGAATTTAATGGAGAAAGTATAGTCTTTTCAGCATATGGTGCTGGAACAACTGGATGTTGATATGCCAAAAAATGAATATAGATACCAACCTTATACCTTTCATCAAAATTAACTCAAAATGGATTATTTATCTAAGTATAAAACAAACTATAAATCTTCTAGAAGAAGACATGAGAGAAAACCAAGATAACTTTGGTTTAGTCAATGGGTTTTCAGGTAAAACATCAAAAGCATGATCCATGAAGAAAAGATTGGTATGTTGGACTTCATTAAAATAAAAAATTTCTGTTTTTATGCTTCTTCTATGAAGACACTGCTAAGAAAATAAAAAGATAACCACAGACTGGGAGAAAATATTTACAAAACATATCTGATAAATTGTATCCAAAATATATAAAAACACTTAAAACTCAACAGTAAGAAAACAACTCACTTAAAAAGTAGGTGAAAGATCTGAACAGACACTTCACCAAAGAAGATATATAAATGGCAAAAAAGTATATAAAATAATGAACAACATCATTTGTTATTAGGGAATTTCATATTAAAACAGCAATGAGATAGCAGTACACATCCATTAGAATGGCTAAAATCCAAACCACAACACCAAATTTGGTGAGAATTATAGAGCAGCAGAAACTGTCATTCACTGATGGTAGTAGTGTAAAATGGTACAGCCACTTTGGAAGAGAGTTTGTCAGGTTCTTACAAAGCTAAACATAATCTTACCCTATGATCTAGCAATCATGCTTCTTGGTATTTACTCAAATGAGTTGAAAACTTACGTTCACACAAAAACATGCACACAAATGTTCATAGCAGTTTTACTCAAATTTGCCAAAACTTGGAAGCAACTAAGATGCTCTTCAATGAATGGATGGATAAACAAACTGTGGTATATCTATACAATGGAATATTACTCAACAAAGAAAAATCATCTAACAAGCCACCAAAAGATATGAAGAAACCTTAAATGCATAAAGCTAAGTGAACGAAACCAGTCTGAAAAGGCTATTTACTGTATGATTCTAACTATATGACATTCTGGAAAAGGCAAAACTCTGAAGATAGTAAAATGATCAGTGTTTGCCAAGGGTTTGGAAAGTGGGTGAACGGGGTGGGGGATGGCATGTTGAATAGGTCAATCACAGCGATCTTCAGGGTAGTGAAACTATTCTATATGATACTGTGATGGTTGATACATGACATTTTGCATGTATCCAAACCCATAGAACCGTACAGTAGACAGAGTAAACCCTAACGTAAACTGTGGACTTTAATAGTTATTAGTATTGGTTTATCAGTGGTACAAATGTACTGTTCCAATACAAGATGTTAATAATATGGGAAATGGGTGGGGAGGAGGACAGTAGGTGTATGGGAACTCTCTACTTTCTGCTCAATTTTTCTGTAAACCCAAAACTGTTCTAAAAATTGGTATCTACTAACTAAAAGTAGTAGAAAACCCTTATGACGTTGGATTCAGTAAGCATTTCTTAGATTCTTAGATATGACACTAGAAGTATGATCCATAAAAAAGAAGAAATTGATAAATTGGACTTCATCAGAATTGAAAAACATCTGCCCTTCCAAGACACTGTTAAGAAAATAAAAGAGAAGCCACAGACTGGGAAAAAAATATTTCTAAAGCATATTAAGTATTTGTATCCAGAATATATAAAACCAAAACCAAACCCGTTGCCGTTGAGTCAATTCTGACTCATATCGACCCTGTGGGCAGAGTAGAACTGCCCCATAGGGTTTCCAAGGAGCAGCTGGTAGATTCGAACTGCCAACCTTTCAGTTAGCAGCTAAGCTCTTAACCACTGTGCCACCAGGGCTCCAGAGTATATACAAAACTCTTAAAATTCAGTAAAAAGAGAAGCAACCGAATTTGAAAAATGGGCAAAAAAAAAAAAAAAAAAGCAACCCAGTTTGAAAGAAGGTATATGGATGGCAAATAACACATGAAAACATGTTCAGTAACAGTAGTCATTAGGGAGATACTATTACATACCTGTTAAAATGGCTAAAATTTAAATATTGACCCAAGTGTTGAAGAGGATGTAGAAGGACTGGCTCTCTCATACACTGCTGTGGGGTTGTAAAATAGTACAGTCACATTGGAAAACAATGTGGCAGTTTCTTTAAAAACTAAACATTTAGCTACCATATTATCCAGCTATTCCACTCCTAAGTATTTGCCCAAGAGAAATGAAAGCATATGTCCACACAAAGACTTGTGCACAAATGATCATAGCAGATTTACTTGTAAAAGCCAAAGACTGGAAACAACTCATATGTCCACTGACAGTTGATAGATAAGCATGCTGTAGTATATCTATATGGTAGAATACTAAGCAATAAACAGGCATGAACTAGTCATACACAGGACAGTATCGATGAATGTCAAAATAATTGTACTGAGTGAAAGAAAGGTAAAGAGTACATACTGTATGATTCCATTTATGTGAAATTCTAGAAAATGCAGACTATAGTGACAAAAAGCAGATCAGTGGTTGCCTGGGGATGAGATGTTGAGAAGGACTAGGAGGAAGGGACTACAAAGAGATATAAGGAACTTGGAGAGGTGATGGATATGTTCATTAACTTGATTGTGGTGCTGAAACGTCAAAACTTGTAAAATTGTATGCTTTAAAATATGTATAGTTTATTGTCTATCAGGTATAATAAAGCTGTTAAAAATAAAAAATAGGACTTGGTGGGTGCTTTGATATGGGAAAAGGTAAAATGAGCAGTCAGGTATGACACCCTAGTTTTCTAAATTAGATGATTAGATGAACTGTGGTATAACCAAAACAAAGAATATATGAGGAGTTGGTTTTGTGAGACAGATGATGAATTCAGTCTTGGTCACGTAGAGCACAGATTGATGTGTTCAGCAGGCAATGAAATATGAGTTAGAAGTGTCTGGAAAAGGTCTGAATTAGAGTTATAGATTATGAGTTATCAGTGTATATGTGGTAATTAAAAACATGGGAGATGAATTCAGTGGAAAATGTGAGCAGAGTGAGAAAGGAAGTAGGCAGAAAATGAAGAACTGGGGAACAACCTTTAAAGGACATTTTTGGGAAGGAGAGCCCATGAAGGAGATTGAGAAAGAATGTTCAAACATCTATGGACAGGGGATGGGGAGAAGAGGACCAGAAGATCATTGTATTTCAAAAACCGAGTGGGTAGAGAGTATCAGGTATAAATAGAGAGGTCAAGGATAATTTCAAAGAGTCAAAACCACGACCCCTATGCAAATACACTGTTAATTCATAGCAAAAATTTTATTCAACTTATTAGTTAATGAGGTAACCTGTAAGATGTTCATACAGGTTTAAAAGAGAATTCAAGGGAGGGGAATTTATAGAGTTGGTCTGTCAAAGGAACACAATTTGACTTTACTGTAAATACAAAACTGGTTAATGCCTTACAAAGCAATACATAGTAACCTTTAAGGTTACCTTTTTTATTGGACAGAGATCATTTATATTGCTCTCAGGTAAGAATCACAGCATTATCACTTTTCTACAAGCCAACCTCTACTTTTACAGAACTGTAAAATATCCCAATCAATAGTGAATAGGTAAACAAAAGGATGTTCTTGTTCTGTGCCATTGAGTCGATTCTGACTCATAGCAATACTATAGGACAGAGTAGAAGTGCCCCATGGAGTTTCCTAGGCAGTAATCTTTAAAGGAGCGGGTCGCCAGATCTTTTCTTCTGTGGAGCTGCTGGTGGGTTTGAACCACCAACCCTTCAGTTAGCAGCCAAGCACTTAACCATTGTGCCACCAGGGATCCTTAAACAAAGGTATACACCCCTAGAAAATCATATACTTCTCAAGGAGGTGAGTGAAAGGACACCGAGTAATCCCTTTGACTATTTCTAAGTTTTGGATAATTTTTCATAGCATTAGTACTGTAAGATGAGGTGTTGTTAGTGTAATGAAGGAAATACCAAAGGAAAGATAAAGTTCTTTCTTTATTAAGCACATGGTAATTGAATTGCTGTAGCATTTTTGTCTTCATGGATCATTAAGCAATTAACCATATGCGGTCTTGTGATTTTCCTCTTATTGTTGCCTTCAAGTTTTTGAATCACCTGTTATTTAATATTTTGCACATTTACCTTTCCTCTCCAATTGGATTGCAGGTTTCTCTGAGGAAAAGGTCCTTGGCTACTTCGTATTCGCTATTGTACCTAGCACAGTGCCTTATACACAGTAGGAACTCAACAAATATTGATTTAATTGGATGTATTCCTGGAACCAAACTATACATTTAAAGAATTGGAGGCTACAGTCAGGCGTCAAGCTGCTGAACCTTTTATGTTTAATTTGTTGGTGATACTTATGCATCAATTAGTGATGGTCCATTTTTTATTTTTTCCCACTAGTGGTGGTTTACTCAGAATAGAAGGAAAAAACCTGCATTCAATTTTAGATGAAGTTGTTTTCAAGCTTTTGTCAACTCCTAGTCCTACAATAAGAAGTACTGCTACAAAGCTCCTACTGTTGATGGCTGAGTCGCATAAGGAAATTTTGATTTTATTGAGACTGAGCGCCTGCTACAAAGGTACTGCATATATTCTTTTCTTGGGATTCTCAAAAAGAAAGTTTTTATTGACGGTTTATGAAAAGTAAAAATCTTAAGCTTTGAAAAAGTAAATAACTGAAGTGTGCAGATAAAAACCTATCACAACAGATATCAATTCAGAAAAAACTCTTTATGTAATCAAGCTATCTTCACATCTCAGCAGATGACAGATGTTCTGTTGATGAGATTACAATGAATATTTACTCCCTCTCTGACAAAAAGATTGTGTTGAATATACCATATTGTTGCTATTGCTAGTTGCTGTCAATTCCAACCCGTGGTGACCCCATGTATATACCATATGGTGTAGTGAAATAATGACCTTGTCAAGACTAACTGGTGAAGAAAATAGGTTTGTGCTTAAGAAGCTGACAGCCCTTTTATTCTAACATCAATTAATAATCACTCTTCAACTTCTTCACTGCCTTGCCTCAAAAAATAAACAAAAACATCTTGGTCACCTCTAAAATAAACACATATGTGAATAAAAAAATCAGAAATTCAGGGGAAGAAAGCGCTCAGTGAGGTACCTTTCCCCATATAATAGCTTTCATTTAACTGAGCATTTACTAAGGGACAGGAACTGTTCTACATACTTTTTTTTTTTTTTAATTTTTGTTTTTATTGTACTGTAGGTGAAGATTTACAGAGCAAACCAGTTTCTTATTAAACAATTAATACACATATTGTTTTGGGACATTGGTTGCCAACCCCACAACATGTTGACATTCTCCCTTTCTTGACCTTGTGTTCCCCATTACCAGCTTTCCTATCCCCTCCTGCCTTCTCGTCCTTGCCCCTGAGCTTGTGTGCCCATTTAGTCTTGTTTTGTTTTATGGGCCTGTCTAATCTTTGGCTGAAGGGTAAACCTCAGGAGTGACTTCAGTACTGAGTTAAAAGGGTGTCCGGGGGCCATACTCTTGGGGTTTCTCCAGTCTCTGTCAGACCAGTAAGTGTGGTCTTTTTTTTTGTGGATGTGGGTTAGAATTTTGTTATACATTTTTCTCCAGCTCTGTCCGGGACCCTTTATTGTGTTCCCTGTCAGAGCAGTCAGTGGCGGTAGCCAGACGCTATCTACTTGTGCTGAACTCAGTCTGGTGGAGGCTGTGTTAGTTGTGGTCCATTAGTCTTTTGTCTTTGGTTTTCTTCATTCTCTCTCACTCCAGATGGGATGAGACCAGTGAAGTATCTTAGACGGCCACTCACAAGCCTTTAAAACCCCAGATGCTACTCACCAAAGTAGAATGTGTTCTACATACTTTACGTGCACTAACATATTTGAATTTCATAACAGATTTGTGAGATATATACTTTTATCCTCTTTTTATAGATGTGGAAACAGACATGGAAAAATTAGGTAATTTACTCAGATCACACAGATAATGTTTTTCCTTTTTTAATTTCCAGGCACAATTCTCTGTTAACTTTGTTTTATTCTTTGCTAACTGGAGCCATGTATTATTTGCAGTACATTTTCTTATACAACATGGTCAGTAAATGGGTTTCTAGTTCATTAAATATACTTCAATTACAAATACAGGGTTTTATTATATGAGGATTTTTAGAGATTAGAATATGCATTTAATACCAAAACAATTAAGATGGTCTTTTAATAATTCTTGATGATTTGGAAACACTTTAGTAACTTACATTGCATCAGTCATTACTGTGAAAATTGTAATTATTTATGTATTGTAGGATTAGAGAGGGAGAGAAAATGCTAGTAATAGAGCTCTGTAGTTGATATTGTACCAGTTGTACATTTTTTAAATCTGTTAATCACATTTCTCTACTATAGAAATGTAAATGTCCAACAGAGTTCATTATAACGTAATTTCACCTTAACAGTCCTTCTCCCTTTCTTTGACTTATATCTCAATGGCAGAACTTATTCAGGTTCATCAGGATATTTTAAAATTATTAACACTGTTGAGAACTTGGGTTCATGAATAAGAATCAACATAAATCCAGTCCCCAAAAATGTGAAGATTAATCAAATCCCCACTTTCCCACTTCTTAGTCATTTCTGACACCAGCTGCCCATGTGGCACTCTCTCTGCCTCTAGCCACCCAGAGCTAGGTCAGAGCTGACAAGTTGATACCGTCCTTCAGACTGCCAAATAGGCAGACACCAGCCACAAACTCGAGACCTCGTCCACACCCTTACTTCTGATCTACAGGCTGCAAATTTGAGGTTTTCCCAGTGCCCCTTTGGAATGCCAGCCACAAGCTTGGGTGCCTCCTCAGGGCTCCCTCACTTTCACCTGCTGTCTCCCACTACTCCTTTGGGTTTGTTAATTCACTGGAAAGACAGAACTCACAGAAAGGACTGTACTTAGGACTAGAGATTTATTATAGCAAAAGAATACAAGTCAGGATCCCCATAAGGAAGACGAATGGACAAGGTCTGAGAGGATCCCAGCATGGAGCTTCCATGTCCCAAAGGACATGAAAAAGATGTCAGGAGAAAAGAAAAAAGGAAACTCGTGATTAATCTTTGCGGTACAATGGATCATTTTTAAGTGGCCTTTCTCACCATAGTCTTTTAACTCCCACCTAAGTGATTGGATGGGTCTATGTAAATAAGGTAAGTGTGGCCCACCAAGGGGACTGGATAGTTTTCTAATAATGCGAATAAAGTGCATGGCACCTGTGTGGGGTGGGACCATGCAAATAAAGTATATGGAACCCTAATGAGGGAATTGGTCAGTTTTGCCATTCTGTTAGGCTTAATGTGAGCCATCCCAGAGGCAGAAGGGGAGGATCTCACCACTACGAAGAAAGAAGAGCCAGGAGTGGAGCGTGTCCTTTGGATCCGGGATCCCTGCACTGAGAAGCTCCTGGAATCAGGAGACCAGGAGAGAACTGTAATACTGAATACAGTGAGACGCGGCTGCAGAGAAATGGTGGCAGCAGAGGCAAGAGACCTGCAGAAGACCAGTGTGCTGGGCTTCTAGGGCCACAGAGTGAAAAAGCTGAGTGTTTTTAGGAAGGAGGCCTACTGGCAGAGTAGGATGCCTCCTGGCACTTGGTGGAGCTCAGTTTGCCTACCCTCGGAGCTAGAGCTGAGCACCTTCAGGATGAGGCCTACTGGCAGAGTGGGATGCCTTTGAGCACTTTTTGACACTTGCCCAAGCAGGATAGAGGCCAGGCCGAGGGCCAGAGAGACCTGCCTATAGGCATAGCTGAGAAGAGGCTGTCCTGACCGAAGAACTGTATCCTGAGCATTCCTGAACCTGAATTGTAACCTGTTACTTCCCTAATAAACCCTGTAATTGGAGTATGATCTGTGAGTTCTGTATGGCCATTGCCACAAATTATCGAACCTAGCAGAGAAGTAGAAAGTGCTGTTGGAGGGGTGGTTGATGTCAGAATTGGTAAAGATGGCAGAATGAGGAGGTATGTTTGAACTTTGTCTCATAGGAATCAGTCTTGGCCTGTTGATCTTGATTCTCCTTCCTCTTTGTTAAGTTAGATGAGGCCAGACGCCCCAGCCACACCATTTTTACAAACGTGTTCATTTCTAAACCTGACTTTTTAACCTCAAATTAATATTGATTAATAAAATTATATTTTTAGTATTAATAGTTGTATCCTTGTTATTCCATTTCAGGACTCAGAGGTCTACTAAATAAACAGGAAACTGGAACAGAATTTAGTCAAGAACTCAGACAGCTTCTTGGCCTTTTAAGTCCTAAGGTCTATCAGGACATAGAAGAGCAGGTATTACATTATAAAAATAATTTGTATGGTATTTGCTAACTGACTGAATTAAACTTCAGTTTCCCTTGAATGCTCCTCACTTTCTTTCTCTTAACATTTTAAGCAAAATGCTTCCTCTTAAAATAAAAATATCTTTAAAGTTTATCTCTCTGTCATTCAGCCTGCCCACAAATATAATTTGAGCCTCCCATTTATACATGTTTAGATGTGCTACTGTATCCATTTCTTTTTCAGAATTTCTTATGAAATCCCCATCTCCGATGTTTATCTTCTTTTACCTATAAACTATTTAAATTTGTTTCATTGCCCCCCCCCACCCCAAACCTAATTGTAACAAACAATATTTAGAATCACCTATGGCTAGCCCTCTGATACTGAGATAAAATGCTTTTCACCTTTGTGTAAGAAATTTTATTAATAGAAATAATTTACAATATTGAGGCAGCAAGTTAACATGAATGAATATTTGATCATACTTCTTCTAGTATACTCAGTGATGCCCTAGATGGGCTTCCAATAGGAACAGCCGTATAGCTTTCTGGTGTCCAGTTGGAAACTTAAAAGAAATTTGGAAAATAGATTTAAATCCAAAATAAATAAATATATCTTTGAATTTAAAAGGAAATGGATAGATTTTGTATCCAAAATCTAAAACCAAAGAAGTAATAAATTTCAAAACACAAAGAAGAACCATGAGAAGAAGATAAGTCAGACAGGAGGGTGACGGAGTAACTAGGAAGGAAGAGAGTTGAAGAAGGGGATCCCCTAATACTGTGTATGAAGGCTTACAAGTCTTACACTAATCTCTAAACCATGTATGTGTGGGACAGATACGAAACAGTACCAGAGGCTTATAGAACTGAACAGTTTTTGAACAACCACCCACAAAAGGTCAGCCAAGTTTGCAGTCTGAACCTAACCAAGCTGATTGCCTAGTAAATGAAAATAGTAATATGTTAACTCAAAGTAGACTATGAAAGGTTAGGCATTGTGTTAGTTAAGCATAAAAAAGGTTTTAGTGGCTGTATTAATATCAGATAAATAGTTTTTGAAACAGAGTATTACCAGAAATAATGTAGGACGTTTCATAATGATAAAAGGGATGTTATTAGAAAGACAACAATTATAAATGTGTATGTACCCAATAACAAAAAAAACCAAACCTGTTGCCATCGAGTCGATTCCGACTCATAGCTACCCTGTAGGACAGAGTAGAACTACCCCGCAGGGTTTCCAAGGAGCGGCTGGTGGATTCAAACTGCTGACCTTTTGGATAACAGCCTGAGCTCTTAACCACTTAGCCAGCAGGGCTCGAGAACCTCAAAAAATGACAGAATTAAAAGATAGAAAGAAATAATTCCACAGTAGCAATAAGAGTTTAACACTCTCTAATAAATTGATAATTAGACAAAATAAACACATAGAAGATCTAACAGCACTTATCATGCTATCAACCACCTTAATTTTAATGACATTTATAGAACATTACATCCAGCTACTGCAGAATTCACATTCTTTTCAAGTGTGCTAGGCCATTAAACAACTGAGTGAAATGAAAAGGATTGAAATCACCCAGCATGTGTTCTGTGACAACAACAGAATTAAACTTGAAACCAATAATAAGAAGTTATCTAGGAAATGGCAAATATTTGGAAATTAAATAAGATACTTTTCAGTAATTCATTAAATAATGGATCCAAGAAGATATCACAAGGAAATTAGAAAATATTTTGAACTGTATGTTAATGGAACCAACATATCAAAATTTGTGGGTTATAACTACAGCAGTGCTTAGGAGGACATTTATAGTTTTAAAGTAAACTCAAAGTAAGTATAACAAGGAGATATAAAGATAAGGGTAGAAATAAAAAAAGACAGAAGAAAAAAAGGGAAAAGCAGTTTTGCTAAAAAAGAAAATCAAGAGAACTGACTTATTCTCTAGTTAAACTGATTAAGAAGAAAAGAATACAAATCACCAGTATAGGAATGAAAAGGGTGTTATCACCAAAGTTCCTATAGAAAGTAAAAGGATAATAAGATAATATTATCAACAATTTTATACCAACACATTTGAAATCTTAAATGAAATGGACACATTTCTTGAAAAATACAGCTTATCAGAATTGACACAAAAGGAAACAGAAAACCTGATTAGCCCAATATCTATTTTTTTAAAAATTGAATTATCAAAAGCCTTTCCAAAAAGAAATCTCCTGGCCCAAATGGCTTCATTGGTGAATTCCATCCATCATTCAGGAAAGAAGTAATATCAAAATTACACAAACTATTTTAGAAAACAGAAGAAGTTCAGAAAACAAACTGACCAATGCATTTAGTGAGGTCAGCATAATCTTTATATCAAAATCTGAAAAAGACGGATACATAGCCCTCATCAAAAATCCTTAACAAGATATAAGCTAATTGAATCCAACAATACATAAAATATAGACTACATCATGATCAAGTAGGATTTATTCCAGGAATCCAAGGTTGGTTTAACATTCAAAAATCAGTAATTCAATTTATTAACAGAATAAAACAGATCATTAACAATATAAACAGATCATTTTAATAGATACATAAAAAGCATTTGATAAAATTCAACACTCATTCGTGACTAAAAAAAAAAAACAAAAAACTCTGAAAACTAGGAATAGACAGCTACTTCCTCAGTTTAATAATGTACATCTATAGAAAAACCTACAGATAACAGCACACTACATAATAAAAGACTGAATATTTTTCCCCTAGGATCAGTAACAAGATGGTGATGACTGTTTATGCAACTTCTATTCATCTTTGTCTTAGGAATCCTACCATTGCAGTAAGGCATTATAAAGGAATAAAGGGCACAGAAATCTGAAAGGAAGAAGTAAAACTGTCCCAATTTGCGTTTTACATAGAAAATCTCAGCCAATCTACCAGAACCAATAAGAAATTTAGCAATGTCATATGACTGATACAGGGTGGATTTTAAAAAATAAATTATGTTGTGTATTAGAAGCAAATGATTAGAAAATGATTTTTTGTTTTAAATTTCATTTACAGTAATGCCAAAAAAAAAATACTCAAGAATAAATATAACGGATAAGATTTATACACTGGAAAATATAAAACATTGCTGAGAGAAATTAAAGAAAACCTGAATAAATCAAAATATATAGCACGTTCACAGATTGAAAGACTCAATATTGATAACTTGATATTTCTCCCCAGATTGATCTATAGACTAAATAAAATACTGTCAGGCTTTTTATAGAAACTGACAAACTGACTCTGAAATTTAAATGGAAACGCAAAGGACTTGGAATAATAACCAAAACCATTTTTAGAAAGAACAAAGTTGGAGGATTTATACTGCCTGATTTCAAGACTTACTATAAAGCTGTGTGATGATCAAGACACTTTGGTATCAGCAAAAAGATAGTCATACAGATAAATCGAACAGAATAGAGAGACCAGAAATAGACCCACACATACATAGTCCATTGATTTTCAACAAAGATGCCAAGGTAATTCAATAGGGAAAGTAAGCCTTTTCAACAGAGGGTGCTCCATAAGGAAAAAATTTACACAGTCTTTACCTTACGTCATATACAATTGTTAATATATGATATACAATTGTTAACTTAAAATGGATCATCTAAATGTAAAACATAAAACTTCTTCTGGAAGAAACCAACAGAGAAAATTATTGCAACCTTGGGAGTAAGAAAAGGTTTCTTTACACACAAAAAGCGTGAACCATTAAACAAAAACAAAAACTGATAAATTGGACTTAATCCAAATTAACAACTTTTGATATTTGAAAGACATAAGAAAAGTCAGCCAACAGACTGGAAGAAAGTATTTGCAACACATTTTTTCATGTGGAATGATGTACTAATACCAAAGAACCAGAGCCATAAATGGGAATTTCTCAGTCATAGCTCCTGAGAAATAATGGATGACTCCACTCAATCTTATTCCAGAGAATTAATTAAATAAAATAATCCAGAGGTACTTAATAGGTTCTTAATAGGCTTTTTCTATATTACATAAAAGCCCATACCAAGGTGTCCGATAAATTGTATTTTCCTCTTCTTTTTTCAGTTTATAAGGACTCCAGAGAGCAATATAGACGATGTGCAGGAAAAAGTTGCCAGTGTCCTGTTACTTCTTTCTTAAAAGATCTGCTCCTAAATTCTTTTTTTTTTTTCCTAGTAGAGAACTTTATGATTACTAAAAAACAACATAACTATACCATACTTTTTCTAGCATACAAATACAGACATATGAAAGTATAAAATAAGAGTCAAAAGAATACCGAGCGCTCTAGATTGCTCCACCAGACAACTGGAACATCTAAACAGGGTTTCTGAAATATCATATAACACCTGACTATTTTGCTAAGCTGTTGAGTCCTTACCCTAAATTGCTTTTTTTTTTTTAGATTGTACGTCAGGTGAAGGCTTACAGAACAAATAGTTTCTCCTGAAACAGTAGTACACATATTGTTTTATGACATTGGTTAACAACCCCACAACATGTCAACCCTCCCCCTTCTCGACCTTTTTTTCTTGGTGAAAATATACATAGCCAAACATACACCATTTTAAAAATTTCTACATGCACAGTTCAGTGACATCGACTACGCTCTTACAATTGTGCTGCTATTCTCACTTTAGATGAAAGCTTACAGAACAAAATAGTTTCTCATTTAACAGTTAGTGCACATGTTGCCCTATGACAATGGTTAACAACTTCACAACACATCAACACTATCCTTACTCAGTCTTGGGTTCCCTATCACCAGCTTTCCTGTTCCCTTTTGCCTTCTGCCCCTTGTCCCTGGACAGCTGTGCCTCATTAGTCCCATTTGGTTTTACGGGGCTGCCCACTCCCCGGCTGAACGGTGAACCTCGGAAATGACTTCACCACTCAGCTTAAAGGGTGTCTGGGAGCCATACTCTCGGGGTTTCTCCAGTCTCCTTTAGGCCAGTAAATCTAGTCTTTTTTTG